CTGACTGACCGACCGGTACCGTGGCTGTTTTTCGGCCTCTCGGCCTCTACCGGACCCGGCTATAGGCTATAAGACCGTCTAACAGTATAGGCCGCTTAGGGCCTGTCTGTCCTAGGGGTAGCCCGGGCCTGCTATAGGCAGTTAGGGTAGCTGTAGGAATTCGGTAGTACCGGGCCTGTATTTTCCCGGATTTGCAGATCTGTCCCTCACGAATTTCCTTACAGGCAGGTCTCTCGGTTAGCCCTCAGCCAAACAAAATTACGAATCTAACCTACCGGGTTAGTGTACAGCCTCGCTGTCAATCTCGGCAGCAGAAATCAGCAAGTCATTTCCTCCCTCCCTCCCTGCCTCCCTCCCTCCCTGCCTCCCTGCCTCCCTCCTTCCCTGCCTCCCTGCCTCCCTCCCTCCCTGCCTCCTCCCTCCTTCCCCCTTTCCTCACTCCCCCACTCCCTCACGGCCTCGCTCACTGCCTCGCTCACTTCCTTCCTTTCTTCCTTCCTTTCACAAATTCCTTGCTTCATTCATTCATTCATTCATTCATTCATTCATTCATTCATTCACCCATACCTCTCTCCCTCACTCCATCCGCAAACATTATGATTGAGCTAGCCAAGTGGAACCCATTGAACTTTTACGATAAATAAGTTGTGACATGGTTTCTGTATGATCTCGCTAACTCATGCCTTATCTCTCTGATATTGGCCAGTGCAGCAGCAGTGGGACTGCGTGTTCCGCGGAGGCTTCATTTGTGGATAGCACATCTCTTTCAAAAGGAGGAGAAATTTCACGTGCTTCAGCAGTATATTAATAATAGGGTAAGCGATGAAGCTCTTGTGAAGCCTCTTAGGTTTTTTGTCTTTGTTTAGCTGTTTGACAGTTTCGATCCTTCCACCCCCTTTTGAGTGCCATCAATTTGTGACTGCCACTACAAGCTTCTTTATTTCATTGCTTCTTTGTTTCTTTGTTTCTTTGTTTCTTTGTTTCCTCAATGCTTCACTCCACTCTCAATTCTTTGTTTCGCCATCTATTTCTTTGTTTTGTATTTGTCAAAGTCTGATGATCACAATGATGATGATGCAGGTGACAACAGCGGCAATGAGATGGATGATGATGACGGTGATGATGGTTGATGATCGTGAATGGATGAGGGTATTGAAACACCTGGTATACTTCTGTAACAAAACATGTACCCGAAGCAAGGGCATGATACTTTACACGGCATCATGCCGTGCGCTGTCCTCACTTTTCATGGAGAGGTGGTCATTGTTTGATTCTGCTGAAATTGCTGCTGCTGCTTCTGTCTGCGGTGGTGGCATGTCATGGCATGCACTCTATTGCCCTCACATTGCTTGACAAGTTATAATTGTTTAATTCAGTTGAAGTGGCTGCTGATGCTCCTGGGGCGGCAGGGAAGAACTCCACGCCAAAGCTGAGGCCTACTTCCACCACTTACAGAATGTGAACAATAATGACTGTATCATGAAAATTGATGAAATTGAAGCTGGACATTATTTTGACACTTGGCGAACGGTGAATGGGCCATTGAGCTAAGGGCTTCCATACGCGAACCTTAAAGATTTTTTTGTGAAATGACTGACAGAAGAGAAGTTACACCATACTTGCGCACGTGCGGCGCACTGCGCGTTGCGCACCCTGTGCGGCGCATGGGCAAAATTCGGGGTCAGCCAAAAAAAAAAAAAAGTTGGGTTCCCACGCCCAGCCAAAATTAGGACATTGCCCGCGCAAATTTTTTTCAGGGCCGCGCCACCCCAAAACCTGTGTGTCGTCATGTTCGCTGTACACAACTCCATACTATCTTCAGTGTATCTGAGCCCTTTCAGAGGTCCAATACAGTCATGATGAGGACGCATCTGTGGAACCCTTGCTTTTATCTCATTCCACGTATAGAAAACGACAGAACTGACAGTTGTGTCTCCTTGGTG